GCCACACTTCTCCTATCTGAAAAAGATCATCCCTGTGTTTGTGTTATAGGAAATGTTGAACAAAGTGTTGAATACAGGAGAATGATTTCCATCAGAAACAACTGTGTTGCCAGTATCATTAGGATGGTTGGGAAAAGCAAATGAGATTCTCTAGATAAAATGCTCAGCCTAGTCCTGACACTTTATATGTGCTCAGGTCTTATGAGTTCTTCTATTCATTCATTCATTCACCCATTCATTCATTCATTCATTCATTTCATACTTAGCAGCTACCATATACAGGTGCTTTTGTCAGCATGGGGATATGAGGATAAACAAGACTCATTCTCTGCCCTCACGGAGAGGCCAGTTCAGTCTCCTATTTAGTATAAGCCGGAGTGTAAGAGTCAGTCCCTCTCTTCATTTTTTTAATATATAGAAGGATATGGGCTTTCAAGTAAGCGAAATATAATTAATAACTTAGTTATACAATGTAAAGCATTGAGGTAAGTTCACATGTCTAAAGGGACACATCTTCTGTTGTAGTTTGGCGTGAGCTTTGACAAGCCCTGATTATTATTAGACCAGATTCTCTTTCTATAATTAGCTATAAATATATTTAGTCACATGTGATATATAGATATATATATAATATAGATATATAAATTAGGTAGAGAATGTTACCATACAGTAGGCTACTGATAAACATTACAAACAGTACTTAATTTAAGCTTTATAACTATTTGTATTTATTTATTTATTTGAGATGGAGTTTCACTTTTGTCACCAAGGCCGGAGTGCAGTGGCACGATCTCGGCTCACTGCAACCCCTGCCTCCCGGGTTCAAAGGATTCTCCTGCCTCAACCTCCCAAGCAGCTGGGATGACAGGCGCACGCCACCATGCCCAGCTAATTTTTTTATTTTTGGTAGAGACGGGGTTCGCCATCTTGGCCAGGTTAGTCTCAAACTCCTGACCTCAGGTGATCCACCCGCCTCGGCCTCCAAAAGTGCTGAGATTACAGGCGTGAGCCACCGTGCCTGGCGAGACCCTCATCTCTTAAAAACAAATAGTTATACAGGGTTCCTTCTCAGGTATTATACTCACTACCTAGGTGATGGAATAATTCATACACCAAACCTTGGTGACATACAATTGACCCATATAACAGACCTGTACATGTACCCCCTGAACCTAACATAAAAGTCAGGAAAAATGAAGAGTCTCTCTGGAGCAAATCACACACTGTAAGAAGTACTTCATGTGGTGAAGAAGCCAAGCAAGCCACATGGAAAAGCTACCTGGAGCTGGAGATATGCTCAGTCAAGTCTTCAGCTGGGCTCGTCATCCCCAGCTAGGTGGCTCAGGCCTGTAATCCTAGCACTTTGGGAGGCCAAAGAGGGCAGATCACCTGAGGTTGGGAGTTCGAGACCAGCCTGACCAACATGGTGAAACCCTGTCTCTACTAAAAACACAAAATGAGCTGGGTGTGGTGGCCCATACCTGTAATCCCAGCTACTAGGCAGGCTGAGGCAGGAGAATCACTTGAACCTGGGAGGCGGAGGTTGCGGAGAGCCGAGATCACGCCATTGCACTCCAGCCTAGGCAACAAGTATGAAACTCCATCTCAAAAAAAAAAAAAATAATAATAATAATAATACCAGATAGGTGATTTTTCAACTCATGTCCCTACTACAAGCCCTCCCCACTAGTAGTCTCCATAAAGATTGTTGCCTTTTTTTTTTTTTTGAGACAGAGTTTTGCTCTTGTTGCCCAGGCTGGAGTGCAATGGAGTGATTTTGACTCACTGCAACTTCTGCTTCCTGGGTTCTGTTCTCCTGCCTCAGCCTCCCAAGTAGCTGGGATTACAGGCAGCTGCCACCATGCCTGGCTAATTTTTTTTTTTTTTTTTTTTGTATTTTTAGTATAGACGGGGTTTCACCATGTTGGCCAGGCTGATTTCGAACTCCTGACCTCAAGTAATCTGCCCACCTCGGCCTCCCAAATCGGTAAGATTACAGGCGTGAGCCACTGTGCCTGGCCATGTTGACATCTTTATGTTCATGTTTACTCACTGTTTAGCTCCCACTCACAAGTGAAAACATTGTATTTGGTTTCCTGTTCCTGTGTTAATTTGCTTAGGATTATGGCCTCCAGTTCCATCTACGTTGCTGCAAAGGACATGATTTCATTCTTTTTTATGACTGCATAGTATTCCATGGTGTAGATGCACCATATGTTTTTTATCTAGTCCACTGCTGATGGGCATCTAGGTGGATCCTATGTCTTTACTATTGCGAATAGTGCTGTGATAAACATGTGCGTGCATGAATCTTTTTGGTAGAATGATTTATTTTCCTTTGGGTATACAGCCGGTAGTGGGACTACTGGGTAGAATAGTAGTTCTCAGGTTCTTTTATTTTTTGAGACAGAGTTTCACTCTTTTTTTTTTTTTTTTTTTGAGGCGGAGTCTCGCTCTGTCGCCCAGGCGGGAGTGCAGTGGCCAGATCTCAGCTCACTGCAAGCTCCGCCTCCCGGGTTTACGCCATTCTCCTGCCTCAGCCTCCGGAGTAGCTGGGACTACAGGCGTCCGCCACCTCGCCCGGCTAGTTTTTTGTATTTTTTAGTAGAGACGGGGTTTCACCGTGTTAGCCAGGATGGTCTCGATCTCCTGACCTCGTGATCCGCCCGTCTTGGCCTCCCAAAGTGCTGGGATTACAGGCTTGAGCCACCGCGCCCGGCCTAGAGTTTCACTCTTGTTGCCCAGGCTGGAGTGCAATGGCACAATCCTGGCACTCTGCAACCTCCGCCTCCCGGATTCAAGCGATTCTCCTGCCTCAGCCTCCTGAGTAGCTGGGATTGTAGGTGCCTGCCTCCACGCCCAGTTAATTTTTGTATTTTTAGTAGAGACGGGGTTTCACCATGTTGGCCAGGCTGGTCTCGAACCCCTGACCACAGGTGATCTGCCCGCCTCTGCCTCCCAAAATGCTGGGATTACAGGTGTGAGCACCGTACCTGGCAGTTCTGAAGTTCTTTTAGAAATCTCCACACTGCTTTCCATAGTGGCTGAACTAATTTACATTCCCACCAGCAGTGTGTAAGCATTCCCTTTTCCCTGCAACCTCGCCGCATTTGTTGTTTTCTGACTTTTTAATAATAGCCATTCTGCCGGGTGTGGTGGCTCATGGCTATAATCCCAGCACTTTGGGAGGTGGAGGCGGGTGGATCACCTGAGGTCAGGAGTTCGAGACCAGCCTGACGAACATGGTTAAACCCCACCTCTACTAAAAATACAAAAAAACTAACCAGGCGTGGTGACGTGTGCCTGTAATCCCAGCTATTCGGGAGACTGAGGCAGGAGCATCGCTTGAACCCAGGAGGCGGAGGTTGCACTGTCAGCCTGGGCGACAAAAGCGAGACTCTGTCTCAAAAAATATATATATCCATATATATATATAATAATAGCCATTCTGACTGGTATAAATTGGTGTCTCCTTGTGGTTTTGATGTGCATTTCTCTAAGGATTAGTGATGTTGAGCATTTTTTCATATATTTGTTGGCCACATGTATGTCTTCTTTTGAGAAGTATCTGCTGATATCCTTTGCCCATTTTTAAGGGGGTTCTTTATTTTTTGCTTGTTGGATTGTTTAAGTTCCTTATAGATCCCCAGAATGACTTTTCCAAGAGACTTGGGCGGAAATCGCAAGGCTTTTTATGACCTAGCCCTGGAATTTATTCAGCATCCTTTCTGCTGTATTCCATGGTGAGTCACAGGGTCAAATGAGATTCAGTATCCGAGAGAACTACGTAAGAGCATGGTTGTTGGAAGACATCATTCAGTGGGTGCTGTCTTTGGAGACTAGCTGCCATTGAGGGGAAATAGCAGCCTAGCAAGGGAAACCTCAGAGGAGGAGATTTTTACAGGGGAACTCTCAGACGAGGAGGAGTTAGCCAAGTGAAGAATGGGGGAGAAAAGGAAGGGTCTTCCAGGCGGAGGGAGCCTCTTGTACAAAGACCCAGAGAGAAGGAGTGAGGGCAGGGTAAGCAGGTTGTATTCAGGTTCTGCACCTTTTACTTGTTGAGTGACTTTGGATAGTTATTTCACCTTTCTTTGTCTGTTTTCTCATCTGTGAAATGGAGATAATTATAGTTAATATCTAGTAGAATTGTAAAGATTAAATAAGTTAATGCAGAGTCTTTTATTAATCTATTTTCATTAGTCTTTCTTTTTCAAACACCAACTTGAATCAGAAGGAAGAGTTTTTTACAAACCTGATACATAGCAAACAATAGATGTTGGTCATTGTTGCTATTATTAGTATTATACAGGGAGCCATGGGTATGTAAATATATAACTGGAACATAGAATTTAAGACAGTGAATGGAGAGGCCAGGCGCAGTGGCTCACGCCTATAATTCCAGCACTTTGGGAGGCCGAGGTGGGCAGATCGCTTGAGGTCACGAGTTCAAGACCAGCCTGGCCAACATGGTGAAATCCGTCTTTACTAAAAATACAAAAATTAGCTGGGCATGGTGGCATGTGCCTGTAATCCCAGCTACTCGGGAGGCTGAGGCTGGAGAATTGGTTGAACCTGGGAGGCAGGGGTTGCAGTGAGCCGAGATCGCGCCACCGCACCCCAACTTGGGAGATAGAGTAAGACTCAGTCTCAAAAAAAAAAGGGGGGGTGAATGGAGAGACAGATATCATTCTGGAATGGTAAACAGGGGCCACATCACAAATGACTTTGTAAGCCGTACATGGATGTCTGAACTTGTCCTAGAGTAAATGAAGAGAAGTTATAGATTTTTGTTTGTTTTTGAGACAGGATCTTGTTTTGTCACCCAGGCTGCAGTGCAGTGGCGTAAGCACGGCTCACTACAGCCTCGACCTCCTGGGCTCAAGCCATCCTCCCGACTCAGCCTCCTGAGTAGCTGGGACTATAGGTGAGCACTACTATGCCCAATTAACTTTTTACTTTTTGTAGAAACAATATCTAACTATGTTGCCCAGGCTGGTCTCAAACTTCTGGGCTCAAGTGATCCTCTTGCCTTGGTCTCCCAAAGTGCTGGGATTACAGATATGAAGCCACTGGGCCGGGCTGAGAGGTATGGATTTTAAGCAGGAGAGTTGAGCAGATTTAGGGTTTTAGGAGAATCTCTACACAAAAGGCTTCTAGAGTGGGGAATGCTTGGGAGAGAAGAAAAACTAGAGACACAGAAATCAACTGGAAGCCACTGGGGTGGTCCAGGAGAGGCTTGTGGGGGCTGGGCCTGAGGTTGTGCTGAGGGTGATGAAGAGAGGTGGACCTGCTAAAGGTCACAGTGCTGGTTAGAGACGGACCAGGGGCGGGAGCTGCTGACTAATTATGTAAAACTTTCCTGCCAGGAAATTAGCCTTTTTTTCTTGTTTATTTAGGCATGAATTTAATATATGTGCTACTTGATAGAGACAGATAAGTAACTACCAGTAACTGGGCAGAGATGGTTAGCTGGGAGGTATGGATTTCATTTCCATTACTAATGCCTGCAACTGCTGATAATAGATGTGCCCCAGGAATCGCTGCAAGGGAAATGGAGCAAGGTGAGCCATTCTCTTTGAAGGAGTTTTTTCCAGCTCTACCGGTTTATGTTTATAGGGTCACACCCTACCTTCTTATAACTGCCTCATTTGTTCTCCTTTGGGTCAGGCTGAAAGTGTTTATTTGCTTTATCTGGTTTTATTGGCATGGAAAACTCTAGCACGATATGATTGGCCACTCTGGGGGCATCACTGGCCTTTCAAGTTGTGTTTCTTATTCTCTGTGGATGCAGGTTCGTTGTGACATCTGCATTCTTGGAAGGTGCAGGCCTGGATCCAGGCTGATGGGTGGAGAGGAGGAGTTTCGTGGAGCCTGATGAGATGAGGCACCTGGGGACAGGTGACCCCAGCGGCTGCCACTTGCAGGAGAGAGCTTCCGAGGAAAGACATCTGACATGGCAGGGTGACTGCTGGGACTGTGGGCAAAGCATGAGCTCAGCGGTGTTCTCATCCACCCAATTAGGTGACCCTGAAGGTCTATGATTATAATCTAAACGATCCCTGAAAGGATCTACACCAATCTCTTCGCTGGTCCATGAAACTACTAGGCTTGTTCGTGATTCCATGTGGGAATTTGATTGATAAAGTCCTATGCATTCTTGAGTCACCCCCATCACGCACCCTCTACTCCCTTCGAAGAACCACGGAGGGAAGAATAGACACCAGTACAGCTCACACTGACTCACTTCTGTGTTCAACACATTGCTCCTCTTAGTCTCCCAGCTTTTCTAGAAGCCCTCTGAGGGATTTTTTTTTTTTCCTTTTCTTTTTGAGACAGGGTCTCTGTTGCCCAGGCTGGAGTACAGTGGCGTGCTCTCAGCTCACTGCAACCTCTGCCTCCTGGGCTCAAGTGATCCTCCTACCACAGCCTCCTGAGTAGCAAGACTTCAGGTGTGCACTACCACGCCTGGCTAATTTTTGTGTTTTTACTAGAGACGGGGTTTCACCATGTTGCCTAGGCTGGTCTCAAACTCCTGACCTCAAGTGATCCGCCTGCCTCGACCTCCCAAAGTGTTGGGGTTACAGGCATGAGCCACTGCACCTGGCCCTTCTGAGGGCTTTTTATTCCTTCTATGTTCTCATAATTCCTCTCAGAGTTTTTAGGTGACCTCTATTGATTGACAGATCCAGAAGTTTGGAAGATGTGTCAGCCTGAATTGACAGATTGGGAAGCTGAAGAGGAAGGGTTTAGTCACCTGCCCGAGATTGTGAGAATTGGCAGTTATTCACCAGACAACCAGGAACAGTCCTCGAGTTAAACATTTTACATACATTTGTTGTTTAATCCTTTCAACAAAGCCTAAGAGGTAGAAGATCACTGTCATGCGCGTCTGTGTGAAGAGACCACCAAACAGGCTTTGTGTGAGCAATAAAGCTTTTTAATCACCTGGGTGCAGGCGGGCTGAGTCCGAAAAGAGAGTCAGCGAAGGGAGATAAGGGTGGGGCCGTTTTATAGGATTTGGGTAGGTGAAGGAAAATTCCAGTCAAAGGGGGGCTGTTCTCTGGTGGGTAGGAGTGGGGGTCACAAGGTGCTCAGTGGGGGAGTTTTTGAGCCAGGATGAGCCAGGAAAAGGACTTTCACAAGGTAACGTCATCACTTAAGGCAAGGACCGGCCATTTTGACTTCTTTTCTGGTGGAATGTCGTCAGTCAAGGCGGGGCAGGGCATTTTCACTTCTTTTGTGATTCTTCAGTTACTTCAGGCCATCTGGGCGTATACGTGCAAGTCACAGGGGATTCGATGGCTTGTCTTGGGCTCCGAGGCCTGACAGTCTCATTATCCCCATTTTATAGCAGAGGAAATTGAAGCTTACAGTTTTTAAATAACCCCACTGCACTTACATGTTAAACTCAGAATTAAACCCAGTCTTATTCCTAACTGCTTCTCATTTTCAGCACTTCCTACATTGTACTACAGCTTCACCTACCTGCCTTCTCTGCTTACCTTTTCTAAAGGCAGGAATAATACTTTTTATTTTAATCAGGACCTAGCACAGAACCTGATCCATAGTTGATGTTTGATGAATGATTATTAACCAAATGTGAAAAGAATAAAGAGCTGGTGATAAAGCTAACTTCTAGTCCAGGTATGCACTGCCTCCCTGCAGAGACCAGCTTGGCCTGCTCCCTTTCAGAATGGGATCTCATAGGAGCCTTTTCTCTGTTCAAAGTGACACCATCAGACCCTATGTATGGGGAACAATGTTACTTCCTGGTTTCCTTTAAAAGCCCTTTGGGACGAGACTGGTGGTCCAGTGAGCGGGCATCAGTCTTGGGGAGCCTCTTCAGCCCTGCAGGGTTGGGGCCTCCTTTCTGGCTCTCCTCCGTGGCACAGAGCTCCACTTAGAATCCACAGGAACCCTTGGAGGGCGTGAACATCAGCCGCCATCGAAAGTGGTGATGACCAGCCTAGTCTCTGGCTGGAGAAACTTGGAGTTGATTCTGGTTCTCTTGGGCCAGATATTAACCTTATGAAGCCTCAGTTTCCTCCCTATAATGTGGGGATACATAACAATGTTCATTTCATCCAGTTGCTGGGAGGATTGAATGAGAAAATGCATGCCCAGCCCTCATCACAGCGTGAGGTGAATGACAGCTCTGGTAACTGGCGATTTGAAGGCCTGAGATAGGAATGTGAAAGAGGAACTAATAATAACATCAGGCACTGCAGGACGCTTTGCCAATCACTCTTTTATTTATTTATTTATTTATTTATTTATTTATTTATTTATTTGAGTCAGAGTCTCGTTCTGTCGCCCGGGCTGGAGTGCAGTGGTGCAGTCTCCACTCACTGCAACCTCCACCTCTCGGATTCAAGCAATTCTCCTGCCTCAGCCTCCCAGGTAGCTGGGATTACAGGTGTGCACGACCATACCCAGCTAATTTTTGCATTTTTAGTAGAGAATAGGGTTTCTCAATATTGGCCAGGGTGGTCTCGAACTCGTGACCTCAAGTGATCTGCCCGCCTCAGCCTCCCAAAATGCTGGGATTATAGGCGTGAACCACCACACCCGGCCATGCCAATCACTCTTCGTTTCCTGCATCTTAAAGCAACACTGTCAAACAGTTGGAGTTGATTTTCTAGGCCTTTCTGTTTTCCCCCTCCTGCTTGCCATTGCAGGGCCTCCTCTGGTCACTCGTACCCGTGAGAGGTCAGGCTCCTTAAGGAAGTATCACAGCAGAACATCAGATTGAAACTGCCTTTGCAAAAGTATGACTGAGACAGTGAAGGAGATCAAACTTAACTGAGTCCATCTTGCTCCTAACCTCCACACTGTGTTTATTCATTCCTGGGTGTAGGCTGAACTAACTTTGGGAGAAACTTAGTTTATAGTTTAAACAAAGATGGTAACAGCCCTTTCCCAAAGCAGACCTCCTTCTTGCCTGGGGACCAGATTGCCTTTGTAGGACAAACATTAGCCACAAGATTAGAAATTATGGTTTAGAAGTCACGCAGCTGGAGGCTACAAGATTCTAACCCTCCCCTAAACTGCTCCTAAGATCAGTGTTTGACTTGTTTTGCAGACCCTGCACTTGATGGATCAGCTGGTCCCACCCAGATCAATAAACCGGCTCATCTGATCTTGCGGTCCCCACCCAGAACTGACTCTGCAAGAAGACAGCTCTGACTCCCTATGATTTCATCTCTGACCAATCAGCACTCTGGCTCGCCCGCTTCCCCTCATCTGCCAAATTATCCTTAAGAATTCTGCTCCCCAAATGCTCAGGGAGGCTGATTTAAGAATAAAACTCCAGTCTCCTTCACAGCGGGCTCGGCATGAATTACTCTTTCTCTATTGCAGTTCCCCTGTCTTGGTGAATCGGCTCTGTCTGGGCAGCGGGCAAGGTGAACCTCTTGGGTGGTTACAGTAAGAGAGAGAGGGGACTTAACTTTTTGTGTATGTTTATAAATTAGTTCTATTTGTATGTTCATTCTTTTTTCTAGTGTCTTGTCTTTGGGCTTATTTTATAATTTAAATCTGTAAAGCGGTCACTGTGAACCTGCAGTGAGTTGAAGAAGCCCTTAAAACATCTCCTCTGGGCTGGGCACGGTGGCTCACTCCTGTAGTCCCAGCACTTTGGGAGGCCAAGGCGGGTGGATCATGAGGTCAGGAGATCGAGACCATCCTGGCTAACAGAGTGAAACCCCGTCTCTACTAAAAATACAAAAAAATTAGCTGGGCGAGGTGGCGGGCGCCTGTAGTCCCAGCTACTCGGGAGGCTGAGGCAGGAGAATGGTGTGAACCCAGGAGGCAGAACTTGCAGTGAGCCGAGATCGTGCCACTGCACTCCAGCCCAGGAGACAGAGTGAGACTCTGTCTCAAGAAACAAACAAAAAAAAAAAAAAAGGAAAAAAAAATCTCCTCTGAAAAATGTCATTATTACCTTTCCTTAGTTGCAGGAGTCCGGGGGTCTCCTTTGTGCAGAGATCTTTGTATTGCCAGATTAGTACACTGCCCTGCACATAACAGATGCTTCATATCTAGCACTGCACTGAACTGAAATGAGTGATGACACTTGTCAGACAGTCTTGCAAAAGAGGAACAGGTGAATCCTTAGCACAATTCAAGATCTTACAGGAAGGAACTTCCAGTCAACCAAAACTAAACCAAGCATACATTTCTTTCCCCACCTGGCTTACTAATACTTTTATATTTACAATGCTGGGAGGTCTCTGGTTTCCACTAAATGCCCTGGGGTTAGACCATTAAACCTTAGCTGTTTTATAAACCTTGCCATGGATATGCTTATCAGCTTCTTCCTGGGAGCATAAAATGGATTTGGATAATGAATATAAAGCGCTGGAATAAGGAAGGTGCTCAACAGATGTTGTTAGTGTAAACAAGAGCAGGTTAGAAGTGAGAAGGTGCTCAGAGGACAGAGGAGATACGGGGAAGGACTTGGAATTAGTGGGTTGGAACTGGGGAGGAGAGCAGGAGGCCTGGCACTGACAGCATCTCCTTTCCAGCTTCTTCTAGACAAGAGTGGCCTTGCCTGCCGGAAGCCCTAAAATTACAGGTGAGCTGGATCCCGAGAAATGAAGTCCCTGACTAATCGCAAGTAAAGACACAGCCATTTGATAGTTCTGTTCTGCATCTTGGAATGGGTAGAAATACAATAATAGCACCAAACATGAATTACGGAAAACAAGATGTGAATGGAGACATTTGCTAACACATGCCAGCCCAGCCTCGGCGAAGTCAATTCATCAGCTATTTTCACTTGGGAAAGAGAACTTAAGGGCGGAGCCGCAGTCCCTGCCAAACCTAACAGTCTAAAAAGCAGACTGTGTGACATACCAAGGCCTCAGGGCAATATTAACTGCAAATGAGCTCAGCAGGGCGGGGGCTTCTGCACTGTTCTCTGGGGGAAAAGATGGCAGGGCCACAGCCTCTAATGTGAAAGCCACCTGCAGGGCCAGAGGCCTCTCTGGAGGCAGAGGGATGCAGCAAAGACCACTTGGCTCTGCAGTGAGGGCTGGGCTGGGTGGTGCCACACCGCTTTCTAATGGTTACTTACCTCTCCAAGCTTGTTTCCTCATCTATAAAATGAGGCTCATAGCATCAAGTTTCTGTAAAGATTAAAAACAAGACAAAGCAAGTACAAGGGCTTTGGAAACTGTAAAAACTCTGAATGTCAGATGTCATTATCATGAAAGAGAAACAACACTGTTAAAAACAAAAGTTTCCTTCTGATGACTATTCCATGGTGTATTTTAGTGAGAGGGAAAAAAATCCTACCATCTAGAGATAAAATATATATATATATATTTTTCCTGCAGTAAGCAAATAGGCTTCCAATAAAAAGCTGACATAGGAGCCAGGAACAGTGGCTCACGCCTGTAACCACAGCACTTTGGGAGGCTGAGGGAGGAGGATCACTTGAGGTCAGGAGTTCCAGACCAGCCTGGGCAACATGGTGAAACCCCATCTCTACTAAAAATACAAAAATTAGCCAGGTGTGGTAGTGCACACCTGTAGTCCCAGCTACTCAGGAGGCTGAGGCAGGAGAATTGCTTGAACCCGGAAGGTGGAGGTTGCAGTGAGCCGAGATCATGCCATTGCACTCCAGCCTGGGGGACAGAGTGAAACTCTGTCTCAACAAACAAACAAACAAACAAAAAAATCAAAAACTGACATAGGGAAATGTTTTTCCCCCTGGATGGACCCTGTCTTCCTCTGCCCTGTGTAGGTCTATCCCTACCGGCCCCTTTGTGTCACCTGGAGAGGCAGCCTTTAACATCGAGAGCCAGGTGCACCTTCTAAGGCAAACCTGACCTGTGTTGGCAGGTACACAGGTGAAGGGATACAGGTTCGTAGCGCTTCTAACCTTGCCATGGATTCCTTTGAGAATGTGATGAAAGTCGTGGACATACTCAAGGAAAATGCTCTCTTTTCTTCCCTTTTCTTTCTTGGGGTTTTGCCTAGGCTAGAGTGCAGTGGCATCATCATAGCTCACTGCAGACTTCAGCTCCCAGGCTCCAGTGGTCCTCCCACCTCAGCTTTGTGAGTAACTGGAACCACAGGTGTGCACCACCACACTTAGCTAATTTTTTTGATTTTTAGTTGTTTTTTTTTTTGATAGAGTTTCACTCTTGCTGCTCAGGCTGGAGTGCAGTGGCACGATCTCGGCTCACTGCAACCTCCGCCTCCCGGGTTCAAGCAATTCTCCTGCCTCAGCCTCCTGAGTAGCTGGGACTACAGGAGCGTGCCTCCACAGCCAGCTAATTTTTGTTTTAGTAGAGGTGGGATTTCACCATGTTGCCCAGGCTGGTCTCGAACTCCTGACCTCGTGATCCACCTGCCTCGGCCTCCCAAAGTGCTGGGATTACGGGTGTGAGCCACCAAGCCCGGCCTAGTTTTTTTTATTTTTAGTAGAGATGAAGTTTTGCTATGTTGTCCAGACTTGTCTGGATCTCAGGAACTCAAACTATATTTCTGACAACAAGGGAGAAGGTTCTTAACTTGAGGCCCATCCGTGAGTCCCAGTGTGTGTGTGTGGTCCATGGACACTAGGTGTCTTAGTCTGCTGGGGCTGCCATAACAAAATGCCATAGCACAGGTGGTCAAATAACAGAGATTTATTTTCTCCTAATTCTTGAGGCTAAGTTATTTCCTCCCTGTCCCCCCACCCCAAATATAATTGCTAATGTGTTTAATATTACTGCAAAGCAAGTCTTATTATACCCATTTTACAGCTAGGGAGAAGGTTAAATAGTTGGCCCAAGGTCATATAACTATTTAAAGAACGAGCTGCAGTTGGCATTCAGGCTTAGCCAACTCCAGGCTCTTGCTATATATGGTTGTGTTGACATTATGGTGATGCTGTGAGAATTACACAGGACAACATGTAGAAAATCTTTTAAAAACCATGAAACATTCTCTCTGCATATAGACACACACACACACACACACACGTACTGTTATAATTTTGTGGGAAGGCAGCCGTACTTCTTCACAATGGGAAAATAAAATTCCCATAGGTCTCAATTCAAAAATTCTTTCTCAGGGGATCTAGACGTGCCTTGGTTATGCGAAACCAAGTAGTCATACTTCTGGGGCCCTCATCTTTAGCAAGATGAAGGTGGCTTGGTCTTCTCCCGCTTCCCCATAAGATCTCTTCTTTCCTCAATACCCACCTTTGTCAGGCCCTATTTACACTGTTCCCTCCCAAGGCCACACCCGTCAGTTTCTTTAAAAGGCATTTCAAGCAGTTGTGGTTTGGGGTAGCGCAAGAGAAATAAGGAAATGACTCGTGGGTGAGTGGAGATCCCAATGGCATCCTTGTTCTGCTGTCCCCCAGCCGCGGGCCAGGGTGGCTCGGCGCTGCCGCTGCAGTGTGTCCCTGATGGTGGGGCCCTGGGGTGTTCCCTTAGCAGCAGCCCAGAGTCTTTCCACAGGAGTTTCACTCTGGGTTTGGGTCTGTGTTTTCTTTGGAATGAGCCCGTTAGAATATATCAGGCCAGGCACGGTGGCTCACCCCTGTAATCCCAGCACTTTGGGAGGTGGAGGAGGACGGATTCTTTGCGCCCAGGAGTTTGAGACCACCTGGGCAACATTGGGAGACTCTGTCTCTATTAAAAATTAAAAAAATCGGCCAGGCGCGGTGGCTCATGCCTGTAATCCCAGTACTTTGGGAGGCTGAGGTGGGTGGGTCACCTGAGGTCAGGAGTTCAAGACCAGCCTGGTCAACATGGTGAAACCCTGTCTCTGCTAAAAATACAAAATTAGCTGGGCCTGGTGGTGCATGCCTGTAATCCCAGCTACTCGGGAGGCTGAGGCAGGAGAATTACTTGAACCTGGGAGGCAGAGGTTGCGGTGACCGAGATTGCACCACTGTACTCTGGCCTGGGCAACAAGAGCGAAACTCCATCTCAAAAAAAAAAAAAAAAAAAAATTTAAAAATTAACTGGGTGTGGTAGTGGGTGCCTGTGGTCCCAGGTACTTGGGAGCTTGCGGTGGGAGGATTGCTTGAGTCCGGGAGGTCAAGGCTGCAGTGAGCCATGATTGTACCCTGCACTCCAGCCTGGGCAACAGAGTGAGACACCATCTCGGGGTAGAGGAAAAAAACATAAAGAACCCAGGTGATATCTTGTGTCTGCTGGTGCCACTGGCCCATCTCTGGGACAAGGCTAGAATAGACTCAGCCATGGCCTGGGGACTGGAGAGCAGACTGAGCCTGTCTCTTCACACCCCTGTGGGACCCTATCCCTATCCTTTTTGACTGTTTTCCTTGGGATTCCCTATCAACACACCAAATGAATT